TTTAAACAATTGTTGAGCAATTTGCGTTCATCGTTTGCGTTGTTCAACTGGGTAAATGTTCAGAGTTCAGAGAATAGCGGTTCAAACATCTGAATTATTTTCAACTTTTTACTTCATTCTCGTCTTGTTCCTGCTGCTTTGCCATTATTTCTTTCTATAAACTACAATTTGAGTAACTGTAGTAAAGCGACTGCTGTATTGGATGTTCAAATGTTTTGCCTATAGTATCGTTTGTTTGTTTGCTTTTCTCCAGATCACTTCTCCTTTTCCTGTTTCTGGGCTTCTGCGTTTCTGTCAAATAAAAAAAAAAAAAACTACTCAATGTTGTATCTTCAGGACACTGGTAGGAAAGTTTAAATATTTCATACAATATTTGCTCTGTGTTACTGTTGTTTTCATGGTTTTTTTTTCTTCTTTAATTGTTACTTATTCTAAGGTTGAAGAATATTAGTTGATTATTGATTGGTACAAAAAAAAAAAAAAAAAGTGGGGAAGAAAAGGCGAAGAAGAATTTATGCTTTTTTTGAAAACTTCATGATAAGTATTTATTTTTAGTTTTTTTTTTTTTTTTGTTAAGTTTATAGCTAACTAGTTTTAGAAACAGTTTAGTGAATGATTTTTTTTTACTGTTTTCTTAGTGCAGCTACAGTTCTTTGACGCTACTGCTAATTACTGCTGCTGTAGCTGTTGCAGTTGCTGAATGGACAAAGAGGATGATGGAGATCAGGATAAAAAAAAAACAATTAATTTAAAATTTCAAAAAGTAATCTATAAAAAATTAAAAGAATTATAAGAACAAAAAAAAGAAAAAAAATTGGTTAAAAGTAAGAAAGACTAAAAAAAGCGATGTTCTTTGCTTTGCTTTTCTTTTCTTCGTTGTTGTTGTTGTTGTTGCTGCCGCTGCTGCTGTTGTCGTTGTTCTTCTTGTTTTTCATTGTTATTTATCACTGTTTTAACCTGGAGCAGTAAACATTTATAATTTTGTTTTTTTTTTAGCCCTATTTTTTATTTCTAAAAAAGTGGGTACGAAATATGGAACAGAAAAAAAAAAAATCAAAAAGTAAACTAAGTGCGTCTTTTTTTTTTTTTTTTTTTTTTTTTTTTTTTTTT